TCGAAATCAAAAAGCAATCACAAAACTACGACGTAGACCTAAAGAAAACATTCTACACTCTGAACAGCTATTATTGACACTCATTTAAAAACTTAACTTACACATTCATAATATACTTGGGTATTTGGTGTTAATTGAGTACACAAGCGTTCGAGAAAATCGCATAAGAAAAATCTTCGAAAATGTGCACGGATCGAATAGAAAACACGCGAATCATTTGAATGAACTTTAATCTCTCATCACCTCATTGACTTTCAAATGAAATCCTTTATTTCTTTTTTTTTTTTTTTTTTTTTTTTTTNTTTTTTTAATGATTAATGTTCTTTGCAATGATCAATACTTTTTACTAATGCTACGTGAATTGAATTACTTTTATATATAAATAATACATAATGACAAAATAATTGAATAAAAAGTACAAGTACCTCCGAAACTAAAGGATGTTCTCAATTGATGATAATAGTATATACAAAGTTACAAAAAAACAATATATTGTATATATATATATATATATATATAAAATGATGTCTAGTATAACGGTATAACGCTGAGATTATCACTGTCAATGAAGCATAATACCCGAAAGTATCAGATCTAATCTTCTACTAAAGAAAAACATCTACTAAAAATATGAAATATTTGAATATATGATACTGTCAAATTCGAAATAACATGGGATATTTAACTCATAGATATTTCCTACACGTAAACACACAAAAATCCAAGGTAACATCGACCATTACATAGTTTGTAATTTAAACTCTAGCCACTGAAAAGTTATTTTCTTCTTTCTTTATCAACGAATCAATTTATTACTAGTTTGTCAATTTTATAGATTGTATTAGCTATTTGTAACAGTTATATTTTCATCATATTTCTTCAGTCTTATTTCGTTAAAATATTTTGTCTAGGATAAAAAGTCTTTCTTTGGAAAAAAAAGTATCATTTTTCATCGTGACAAATATATATATGTATTGAAATACATGCGTGTATATGTTTAAAAAAAAAAAAACAAAGTTACATGCACTAAAGTGTAAGTAATATCGATCGAGTAACCCAACACTAAGTCGTATCTCTCTACGAAAAGAAAAAGTAGTGCACATTTAATTCCTTACTTAAACAGTCAAATTATCATAACATTACATCGAATAACTTTTACAATTTAATGATATATAATAAAGAAAGCAATAAAATTGAACAAATTATATACATATTATATATATTCTATATATATATATAACAGATTAAAGAGAACAATGGCGGACATGAATGTAGGGAAACTTTACTGTAATCTTCTTTGTGTGTTTACATGTGTTGTCAAAAAATCGCAAGAATGAAGAAATTCGAATAAAGTAAATAACGAAAAAACGGCAGTTTAGATAACTAGATTAAAAAAGACAAATATAAGAGCATCTTTTTGATAAAATTTAATAATGACTGTATATATATATTTATATATGTATATATAATATGTAGAGATATAGATATATATTTGCTGGAAAATGTAGGGACGATCGATCGGTCCTCCCTTTTCTAATGTGGCGGCGACTCCTCTTCTTCGTAAGGCGCGAATTCGCTATACTTATAACTTTCTTCTCTTAATCGATGAAAAAACTTTCTTACGAAGATCAACAATTTAACCAAATTATTTATTACTTGCTTAAATAATATTATTGTATGAGATAAAATAAACATATGAAAATTAAATAAATAAGGGTTTTTAGATAGAAAAACTCACCTGACACGAGTAAGACGTAATATCCTCTCTGTTACGTTCCTCCACTTCTCTCTCTCTCTTGCTTGCTTGCTTGCTTGCTCGCTCGCCCGCTCGCTCGCTCGCTTCCTCTTTTTTCTATCGTTCAATGGCTGCCCTTTTTTTCTTATTCGTATGTTTATTAATCGAGATTTTGATGAAAATAAATGTACACACGAAATAGCATGAAGCTATTGACGATAACACAGAAAACACGACGCGATAAAGTTCCTCCTCTTCTTGGATGACACTGACTGATCAACACGTGTTCACACCGGCTCGTCAAAGAGGACTGACTGGCGTCCGGCTCGTGAGCATCTCGTTATTATTGAATTAGGCCGGCCCCGTGGTCTGACATCAGACCATGTGGCATCGACCAATAGGAGCGCATCTTTCGCTAGCGCATGCGTATTATTTATTTTGTCGGTGCTTCTCGTCGTGCCGGCAGGATCGACTGTTGTTCCTTCCAATCCTTTTAATGTTATTCTTCCCTTCTTTCTTGTAAGTTATTTATATTTTTCTACGATTATATAATAAATTTAATAGAAAAGAAAAGAGCCATGAAATCACACTTTCGAATTAATTTTATTTTAAGTGTATGTTTGATTTTAATGCTTTCAAATATTAAGAATACTTATCTTATGTTATGTTAACGCTGCTTCGATAATTATTCGAAATGTTACTTAATTTATCTTCTTTTTTTTTTTTTCTTTTTTAAATACCTCCATCATCGTTCATAATGAATGCGTAACTTTTATTACATGTACGTTTAAATGTAAACCATGACTTTTTTCTAAAACTCGATTCTGTAACATTCGATAATCACGTGTTTTAATTATTAATTTTTTTCGTTATTTATTGATTTTTATATTTTGTTCGATTAATCTTGAACGAATCTTTCCATAGTTTTATGAGAAACTATCAAAGTAATCTTATTGTCAATTGTGATTTTACTTCTGTCAGAAAATTGTTCTGTCATTTCTTTAATATAAAATCGATATGATCCTTTTGTTAGATTAGATAAGAAAAATAAAAAATGATTTTTTTGTATCATTCTTAATATATGGGAATTATTATTATAATTATTATTGTTGTAATAAGAAATTGAAATAAAAGAATAGAGAACTAACCTAAGTCAATGATATTATTCCCAATGTTGTCAGGAATTTCGTGTCGCCGTCTGACGGTATTGTTTTACATTAGTAAAATCGAGAAAGGAAATGGAGTAATAAAAAACATTTGAAAAATAATTTATATATTTTTACATATATTTATGTATCTCATTTAATGATGTATATTGAGATAAGGATAATCTGCGCGTGATTAGAATTTCATCAAAATTCTAATTAATGTAAATTAGAAAAAAAACTATTTCAAGGATGTAAATATTATTATTATTATTATTCAATATATACATATAAGTGAATTAGTGTTACCAATCAACCAGTCAACCAATTCAAAAAGACATATAAATATTAATTAACTTTTTGATTAAGGTACTTATATTAATTATATAACTTTTAAATGTCATTTTTGTCTTCATCATTAATGCAATTTTGAAATGTCAAATTAAAATGATATATTATAATTACATATTTTAATAGCATGTAATTGAGATTTAAATTTATTCATAATTTATTTTGCAATAGATAATAATAATATTGGTATTATTTATATTAAATGCGATTTATATTATATTTTTTTGTTTCTCTTTTTTTACATTATTAATAGTTTAGCTTAAATTTATATTAGAAAATGTCAAGGATAAGAAACTAAAAAAGTAAAAAAAAGTAAAAAAAGTAAGGGAGATAAAAAAATACATATGTCAGGCATCGTTTATCTTTGAATTGTTGTTTAAAAATCGTCCACCAATCTACGTAACGATTGTTACATTCATGCATAATTTATTGAATGAAAATTGTGGAGGTCACCGGAAAGGTATTGAATTTTTGAAAAGTTTATCAACTATTTCCTTCATTTCGATCACGCGTTATGTGTTTCATAGGTTTAAATCAGCTATTCTTATCATTGCATATGTGTGTATGTATAATACATGTACATACATATAGCCAACGTTTAAACTGATCTGATGTGATAAGAAAAAAAAAAAGAAATAATATTTTTTGGTATTTTTTTAAATTTCTATATAATTTTTATTTTCTATTTAGATAACCCCTAGTAGATGATTTGTATAATCTGATTAGAGATCAAAGTCGTGCGACATAGCGTCGTCACATTGTAAAAACAAGATTTGACGTTTTTTTTTTTTTTTTTTTATTAATTATAAAGCTAATGTAAAAAAAGAAATATAAGTTCCCATGAACGTTAGCACTTCAAGAAGACATAACGAAAGAAATGGCATAACCTCGCTCTTAACAAGACCTTTGTGTTACATCCAAAGCATCTTGCCTAACTCCATAAAGGCGATCTTACCAACTATACCGTATTCGAATGACGATTGTACTATACTTACATGAACAAACAAAAGTCGAGCCTAGCTTACAATTAGATTAAAATTAAGATGAAAAATTTGTATAATTTTCAAATTGGTTAAATGACAATATTTCTTCTCGAATACTATAACTTTATTGCGTACGTAGGCATTAGCTACGAGTTAGTTACAGTTAAAGTTAGAGTAGTACTTCGAAAAATAATAAAACTCTTATATTTTTGTATTTATTATTATTTTTCTTTTCCTTTTTTCATTTTCTCTGATAAAATTCCACTCAAAATTAAAATAATTTTGTTTAATTATCATACTTTTACGCGTGTCAACTTTACACAAGATTGAAATATTGTATTTTTATTTCGTTGCAATTTTGTTTATCGTTTAACCTTGTAGTGACAAAAATTATATTCTATTTTTAAATAATCATATATTTAAATGTATCGATGATAAAAAGATTGAAATATTTTCATTTCGTAGTAATTTTGTTTATCTTATAACCTTGTAGTCGAAAGAATTATATTCCTTTATTTCATTTTCATAACGAAAAAAGTTGAAAATTTTCCAACAGTTTTAAATGCTCTTGAGCAATTAGTAAAGAAAAAATATCTTTTTTACTAATAAAAAGAAACCTTACGAGAATATCAAGGACGAAGGAATTATAATAAATTTGGTGTACTAATTTTCTATTACATCAAGAAAAAGATAATTTGTTCAAAACAACGACGTAATTACCTTGAAAATAATCCATTTTACTTCTTTAAATTGTCTAAGAATTGAACTCATCTTTTTAGATTTTTGCATTTAGATTTTGAAACACAAGTTTTCTGTTTTTATCAATCAAAGAACATTCTTGTTATCATAGGTCGATTAGGGGCCATCGTTAATCATCGTGTCAAACGCGTGCTTTAAAATGTTCCTCTTCTATTTTTAATGAAATGTAACTAACGTAAATACGTAATATCAATTATAAAATATGATCATTCAAACAATAATCATGGTGTGAACACTTAATCTTTGCGTGAAAATCATTTTTTTCTTTTTCTTTTTCTTTTTCTTTTTCTTTTATTCTTCACTTCAACCATAATTAGTCTAAATATATTCGATTTTACATTATACATCCTAATGGATTACGTAAATCATCATTGGAATTGTTTTCTTTGTCAAGTTCATTGATAACAGGAAAGTTTATATGTATTATGTGATAAGGAGTATGGTATCATTATAAAAAAAAATGTAATAGATTAACAACTATTGATGATATTTTCGTAATGCACGATTTAAATATTGCGTTGCGTTCAAGCGCTGATCTCATTTCTTTTTTGTTTTTGCCCATTTTTTCCTTTCTTTTTCATAACTTCATTTGCTTCTTCGAGCCTTTGTCGTTCCAACTCCAAAGCTCTTTGTTTTTTTCGACAAGTTGGTGTTCGAGAGAACCATGCTATAATTAATAATATTTCATGAAACGAAAGAAAAAAGTAGAAAATGTTCGTGCTCGTGCTCGATATTGAAAAAAAGATTTTTTTACATAAAAATGTGTCTTCTTCTTCGCGATAAACGGGATCTTTGGTACTAATGGCGTTAATTAATTCTGCATGTGTTAACGGTTGTGTTCTTAATTGTACCATTCGTTTCGTCGTCATAACCTGTAATACACTTTATATATAGTTTTTGTTCAATTACATTAACTAAGTTCCCCCATTACCTCATTAATGGCATCCAATATCGTACCAATAGTAAATCCGTCACAAATTTTATTCATTGCTGATATATCAAATTGCCTGCTTATTCCGGAATACTGTAGTAGAAAATATATAATAAATATAAATAAAATAATACCGAACTTGTCCAAAATTTGGTTTCAATTGTAAATGGAAATAATTTAGCACTTTTGTCATTTGCAATACGAATTTTGACTGTCAATCAAAAAAATATACGAAAAAATGAACAACTTAATATTATTTATATGTTAAATTCTTGCCTTATATAATAAACTTCTCCAGACAAGTGACATGCTACCGTAATCTGGCCTGGGAAGATATATTATTTTATCATAAGTTTGATATAATAATTTTTGATCGGCGTCCCAAGGTGAACTAGTCGTTCCAATTAGTATAACTTTATCCTCATTAGTGATACTTTTTATCAACTTGGGTAAATCTTTCTTTAGACGTTTAGGATCAGTTTTGTCAGTTTTTGGTGGTTTTTTAACAAATGCTTTTTCAGCATTATCCATAAAAATGATCGATGGTTGTAATAATCGCGAAACCTTGGAAAAGAAAAAAGAAAAAAAAAACAAGCAAAAAAGCAAAACAGAATGAAAGACAAATGACACATCGCACCTTCTATATTTGTTATTTTTAAAGTTGATTAATTAGATATGTAAATTTACGAATAAAATTATTTGTTATGCTGTTAAACTAAATGAAAAAATGTTCTGATCGTTCTATGTGAAGGATCCTCTTGGAAATAGTAACATACGTAATGTTACAACAAATATTAATCTACCTTGGATATCAAATGGACTAACATAATTAATCCAGTTTTTCCAGGATATTTGCCAACAATATTAGAAGGTGTAATATCGAAAAGAGTAGCACCTAATTCAGTACAAATAGCGTTTACCAACATTTTCTTCCCGCTTCCACGAGGTCCTGCTATTAGGACTGATCTTACTAGAGGTGTTAGTTCTCTGAGAAGATTATTGCCTAAAGGAAGAATACAATATTCTTTGATTAATTGTCTGATGTCACCTAAAAATGATAAATTACAAATTACAAATTACAAATTACAAATTACAAATTACACAATGATTTGTTATTTAAACAAATATTTACCTAGCGTTGGTAAAGTATCTTTATCATTCTGAACAAGTTCATAATTAGCATAAGATTTCTCGACTTTAAAATCAGCCAATGGAATTTCTCGATAGAGTTTAATAATTCCTTGAGTGAGTAGTTCTTCGAAAAGGGATTCTGTCGTTCTATCTGGAGTCAAATCCTTTTCTTTTTTCTTTTTATTCTTTTTTCCACTACGACGAATACGTTTTTGCGTTTTTTTACCACGTTTACTTTTAATACCCTTATCTCTGTCCAAAGCTGCTTGAAGAGCTTCTATATCATCTAATTGTCACAATTATCTCTGTTAATCTCTTGAATATATTAAATCCTTAATCAAAAAATCCTCAATCCAAAAATAAAATACCTCTCAATTTTTCATCAACTCCAATTCTAATTTCTTCTTTAATTTGTTCAGTTTTATCAGCTTCTATCATATCTTTATAAGGCTCCTGCATAGGATTCATAGACTCGTCTTTGTTTTTCCATACTTTTTGATACTCTTCTTGTAAATTAACCAATTCTGGAAGAAAATTCGAAGGTATAGATTTGAAGTAACTCAGCTCGGTTTCATCTTCCGATTTTTCAGGCTCGCTACTTTTTTTCGTTTTCGACTTTTTCGATTTTCTCGATTCTTTCGAAGATACTCCAGTTGATTTACTTATCGTACTCTCTGTTCCCTTTAAAAAGAAAATTATGAAAATACCTATAAAGAAAACCATGTCGTTTTGTTTATGAGTGTTTTTTTTTTTTTTTTTTTTTTTTNTTTTTTTTTTAATTTATTATTTATATTATATTATAGCACTTTAAATGTTGTTTCTTCTTTTGTTATAGAAAAACGCAACTTTGTCTTTATTTCGAAAGACAATCTATCAAAGATCCAAAACCAATTAGAAACTCACATATATATAAATAATGTATAAATAAAAAAATGTGCGCGTATATACACCTGCCTACTGAAAATAAATCTGGAACCTCCACTTTCAACAGATGGTAAATCCGGAATTTTGCCGGTCTGCTGAAAGTAATCATTTATCCAGTTTCGAATTTCGCTTCTGATATTCTCTTCCATTACGGCACTCCTTTCTTTGCGAATTTTCTCTGTAATCTCATTTATCAATTTTTCATAGATTTCTTGAAATTTGATCTGCTTTTCATGACGATAATGTATAATTTTGTCTGTTTGCCGAATATTTTCCATCGTTACTTCGTTAGGTGGGAGCATACCTAAAAAAAAAAAAGTACGCGTATACAGAATAATTAAGGGATTTGAAATAAAAGAAAGAAAGAAAGAAAGAAGAGAAAATATGAAACCTATTAGCAGCATTTCGTCTAATCGCCTTTTTCGTATCCAACGTCGAGTCTTGTAACCTTTCCAAATTTTTTGAATTTTTATCGCAGCAGCTTCAATGTTTTCCTGATCTATTTCCTCTGCCTCTTGCTTAACCATTGATTTTTCTTTCATTTGTCGTATCTCCTTCATAAATTGAAATCTTACTCGTCCTTGTCTTGCTCTTTCCTGAGCCTAAAATTATTTTATTTTATAATATTCATTATTTGCAAATAATAAATTCATATGTTGTATATATATTTAAAAGAAAGTTTCTTATTCTACCTGAATTAATCTCACAGCTTCTAACTCGCTCATCGTTTTGGATACAACAATATCGTCGAGAAAACCAACATTTCTCAAAGTATTTTCTATGAATTCTCGCCTATCGTCTATTTCCTTTTGACGTTCTCTCCTAAAGTATCTCGGTATACGAATTTCAACATCTTCCGGAGTAACACCATATTTAATTAATATATCATCGTAATAACTATGTTCAGAAAGATCAACGTTTACCAATTCATGTTTCAATTCTAAAACTCTTCCTATCACTGAGTCCAATAATTTCTTAAGTAGGATACGTTTTTGTGGTTGAATTATTTGATCGTAACACTCTTCTAACTTGTTACAAACAATGATGTATTTAACATACAATTCCGAAATAATTTGATGTGCTTTATTTCGATCTTTTTGTGGTTTTGAATTTTGCACACACGAATCCGCACGTATTAATTCATCTAATGTGTTTTGTGTCTCTTTCCAAAGTTCGTTGTACGTTGCATTCGACATTATTTGTTTTCTTACTTTTTTTTTTTGTTTACTCTTATTTTGTTCACAAATAACGTGAGAGATTTCTAATTAATGCGAAAGAAAAACGCATGCAGTTTTATTTGCCCTTAGAGATTGTTTGATCGTTAAAAGCATTATGATTCATCGCGTGTCAAGTTGCGCCATTTGAATTTCGCGCGTAACAATTCAACTTCTACTACTTGTGTTTTATATTTTACTTATTATATCTTTATTACTTTTACTTTTTTTTTTTTTTTTATAAAAATATATATTTTTATATATTCTATTGTTAAAAATTAAAGTCTTCGCTGAACGCGATACATATATATATATATATGTATATGCGCTGACAGGTGAAACTGAAAACAACTAAAATAAATTAGAATAGATTGTATTGAATGCAAATCGCGTCATTAATTAATGTACATGTATACATTACAAATGAACAATTAATAAAATTAAAAGTTTAAATAGAAAATGAAGAAACTGAAATTTAATGAATATTTTATTTTCATGCATAAAAATAAAGTTTTTCATGAATAATAAGTATTCAATTAATAATTCTAATCATCCAGTTGAAATAATATATTTGGCTTAAAAAGTTATTGAGTTACTTTTTTTCTTTTATTTATAGTCTAACAATATTGATAATAATAATTAGAAAAATTCTATTATTTCTGAAACTATCAAGAATAATATTGTTTTCTTTCAAAGATTATTGTCGAGAGCATTATTTCAAAATTTAATATCGAATAAGCTATATTTACAGTTGCTTTTTCTTGCTATCTACAATATCAAAAATAGAAATAGTAACATGATACTATTATCTTTGTTTCAGATATATTTAATTATTTTTTTGTGTAATATATTTCATGCGATTATTATAGATTATTATTATAGATTGAAGAATTTCTTAAATATAGTAATTATCTAATATCATAACATTTATTTAAAACGTTAATGTTATGTAATTTCCAGACTCAACAAAATTATGTAACATAGTAAAAAATGTTCAAAAAAATGGTTTGTTAAATTGCAAATAACAAACCATATTTGAATGAAAACAAAGTCCAGTAAAATAGGAAAATGCTAGTAATCACCAATAGAATTGGTGATGTCATCAAGCGGTACAAAATCGAACTACTAAGAAATTCAAATAGCTTCATTTCTACCATGTGATTCAATTTATTTAGAAAAACTATATTATTTAGAAAAAATATTTTTGAATAAATTATTCATTATTATTAATAACTATAGTTATTTATTGATGGCAAAAATATATTATAAAATTAAAATTATTAAAACTTGTTGTAAGACAAAAATAAAATATTACATATGCAGGATGACATTAATAATTATAAGTTTAAGTAATAATATAATTAATTCGGAAGTTTTAAATGTCTTACAATTAACGATATAAAGAGTTATTAAAAAAAGAAATCTTATTTATTACATGACCTTCGCTGACCTTGAAATAATGCACAGTAAACAAAATGGCTGTCATTTATAAATAAATAAAATATACAATTTAATTTAAAAAAGACAAACGTTACCTTTTAATCCCGTTAACCCTTAATAAGAAAATGAAATTATTTTTATTCTAAAACTGTCATTACGATAATAATAGAAAATAATATATAAAATTAGGAAAGTTTTGTAACAATTGTTTTAAACTTTGTATAATATAACAATGAAAATATTGTGATACACCCTTTATATTGATAGTAAGATTAACTAATAGAAGAAAGTAAGTTTGAAATATTAATATAAATTGAATGATAATTTAATAAAGAAATTTTTGAAAATGTAGAAACAAATTATTATTTCGTTAAATTTTCAAATTGTTGTTGTTTTTATATTCATATAACATGGTATATAAATAAAAAAAAAAAAAAAAAGTCATAACCGACAACAGTCTTGAAGTTCGATGAAAGAAATTTGCATCATGTTACAGATTCGATTTTCGTAATGCAACTAACTTAACATTGTAACGTGCTTCAGAGAGTATACCAGTTAGTCCTAGTCGTCCGTTTAAAAACGTCATCTTAGCTGTTACCTACTGGCTAAAATAATATTCTTGTAAATACACAGATCACCACCGTTTCACGGGTGGTGATGATAACGAGACATTTGTAGAAATGGCGACGGCATTAGAGCAATTTGTAAATAATGTGCGGACGCTTTCAAAGCAAGGTAAAATCAAAATGTGTGACTTTTTTGTTGTTGATAGATGATAATATAACCTATAAACAATATCCACTACATATTTTTTGTGCTTCTCTACATACGTATCATTTTCATATTACAATATCATTCGTTTAACCTATTTTGAAAACAATCTGTGTTAATTGTGTTCATTAATTAAACGATATTTCATGTATTTATTCAACATTTGTTTATTCCTTTTCTTTTTTATTCGCTTTTCTAGTGATGAAAATTTGCTTCGATTATTGTTAGGTTAAAAATTGACTGACTACTTTTATTAATAACTTAGTGTGTATGACAAAACTAGAATATAGAATTATTTGAATATATGTTTATGTGTAAATGAAAGTAATAAAAATTCTTGATGGTAATAAAAAATTCTTGACCTTAGGTAACTTCAGAGAGTTGTATGAAGTTATAAATAAGAGTACCGAAATATTAACGAAAAATGGACAACACCTAGATAATGTATTGGAAACGTTGGATTTGCAGCAACACTCCCTTGGAATTTTGGCAGTGTTACTCGTGAAATTTTCATTGCCTCATGCCAGCGGTAGCTATAATATTGATTCTTATAAGCCATTGTTCAATCAAGTCCAAGAATTTATCATAGGTTGTAACAGCGAACAAATTCAATTTGCACCCGATACATGTAAGCTTATATTGAAAAAACAAATGATTTCTTGTTATCCACACATCAGCGTTAATCATATATATTATTGTTTTTTCTTGTAGATGCAGAACTATGTCATTTACTAACTCAAACTCTAGTTGAATTACATGTGCCGTTACGTGGTATAGAATTATTGCGTAGAGCTATACGTAAAATTCAACTGTTTGACAGTCAGCTAACTTCAATACATGCCGATCTCTGCCAATTATGCCTTCTGTCTAAGTGTTTCAAGCCATCGCTTGAATTTCTTGATATTGATGTTACTGGTATTAGTCAGGAAGGTGGACAATTTGATTCAAAGTTTTTTTTACTTTATTATTATTACGGTGGTATGATATATACGGCATTGAAAAATTATGACCGTGCATTATATTTCTTTGAAGTGTGTGTAACCACTCCTGCTATGGCCGTCAGCCATATTATGTTAGAGGCCTATAAGAAATATATTCTGGTCTCTTTGATATTACATGGAAAGATCTTAAATTTACCTAGGTACACGAGTCAGGTAGTTAATAGGTACATCAAACAGTTAAGTCTACCATATCAAGAATTAGCGACAGCTTACCTGACTAACAATTGCGAAGATTTGCTAAACATCATTAGAAAATACCAAGACCTTTTTGAAAGGGAGCACAATTCTGGATTAGTTAAGCAAGTCCTCAGCTTTTTGTACAAAAAAAATATACAGAGGTTGACTAAAACTTTCTTGACACTTAGTTTAAGCGACGTTGCAAGTAGAGTTCAGTTGGCTGGCCCTTCGGATGCAGAGAAATATATTTTAAATATGGTAACAATTTGACGTTTTATATTAACATTTTTATATCTATATATATATATATATATATATACATGTATATATTTAACAATTTATATATTTTTTACGCGTTACTTTTTAATTCTAGATAGAGGATGGTGAAATTTTTGCGACTATTAATCAGAAAGATGGTATGGTAGTATTTCACGATGATCCAGAAAAATATAATTCACCACAAATGTTAGCCAAACTCGAGAAAGAAATGCAAACTTGTGCAGAATTAGATAAACGGGTGCTCGAGATGGAAGAGGAAGTTGTTCTTACGCCACAATATGTTAGAAAAACTTGCGGTCAAAACGAACAGGACGATCAAACAGTTGGACCTACAAATGTCACAAATGGTCAAGCTCAGTTGAAACATAATTCTTACTCTGTGTAACATACATACGTCTGTGTGTATTATCTTTATTAAAAAAGAAGAAAATTAAGGAAATAAGTCTTGCTAAAGTCTTGTTAAAGGCCAAGCACAAGTACATTTTAAAGCCTGTTTTGGGTAAAATATTTCTAATCTGTCGAAATTTGTCTAAAGTAATCTATTTTGTACAAAGATTCCAAGACTACGATTAACAACTTGTAAAGTTCTAAACGATAAGAAATTAAGGCTGAAAACAAATCGCAGTTCATCGATTCTAGAGTTTTTCTTAATAGTAAATATGACTCTCATACTTGTGAAACGCACTTTGAAAAACAACGTATAATAAAAACACGAGCGTAAGATGATAATAATACTAATATTACAATAATAACAATAATAACAATAATAATAATAATAATAATAATAATGAAAGTGTAGTACCTTATCTGTAAAAAGTTACCAATGTATTGGAATATGCTTGATTTCATCATTATTATTGAGTTTGTTTTTTTCATTTGCATAGAAAATTAATAGAAAATTAATAGAAAATTAATATCTGAAGCAGGCTTTATAAGTAAAAATTACGTAGTGAATAAATTAAAATATCGTGGTATTTTATCCACAAGAGATCATATTGTTTTGAAAAAATAAGAATACACACAATTACTACACGCTGTTTCATACATGAGCATTTTTAATTAAAAGGTAAACTTAATAAATTATTGAAATACTACAGCTTTCTAAATGCATAAATATGTGTTCAAAAAAACTTAGTACTTAGTAATACACTGTCGTAGTTATATTATTTCTCTTTTAAGAGATTTTTTTTTTTTTTAATAATACATTCATTAAAGTTTCAGGTAAGTAATAAATTAAGTCCAATTTTGTTTACAGTGAAAAATTGAAAATAGAAAAAAAAAAAACTTTCTTTTATATTAACCATTTCAAATATAAAATGACCAAAGCATGGAATATCTTGAATAATACATAACAGTTAATTAATTGTTACGCAAACAATTTTGTGCTTAATAATAAAAATATAAACTTTTTTTTTGTATGCAATTTATGTTTTCAATTTTATATATAGCATTATATTTTTCTTTTTCTTTTAGTCTATCCTTATAATAAAGTACAATAGTCTTATTGTTAATTGTAAGCCTTTCTTTTCAATAACAATATATCAGTCCACTTAAGATAACAAATGTTGAATTTTGGTTAAAACCATTTGAACCATCTCATCTTTCTCCATCGTTCCATCAACAAATATTAGCTCTGTAGATGCATTTTCATCTTGCATTATTGTTGATAAATGTTTTAAATACTCTGGCCAAACAACTTCTTCAAAATATCCTGGAACATCGGCAGGATCATATGTTCTGATGCTCCTACGTTTGAAACACTCATCTTTGTTCAATGTTAGAAAATATTTAAGGTGACATAAATCTGAGATCGGTTTATACCCAAATAATAAGAAACCTTCTAATATTAATATTCGTTTAGACTTCTTTCCAGCATTATTCAAATCATTTGGTGTAGAATTTAGCAATTGTTTAATGTCCAAATACATTCTGTCCATATCTAAGCTAGATAAAATCTCCCAATTAATATGATTCAAAGCAGCAATTTTGGTGTGCCTTGGATCGTTAGGAAGTAAAAAATAATTATCTTGATGTATTAATATAGAACCGTTTAACTTGTTATGCAATTCTTTAGCTAATATTGTCTTTCCGCTACACGTTACTCCTGAAATTCCAACTATTAACCAGTCTTTGCTATCCATCATTGACACTTTAAATATAACATATAAACTTTACTAAAGTTTTACCCAATCCTTTAATGTTTGATGTTTAACTGTTATATCATTTTATTACAAGATCTAACTTATTTCTTAATACATACATTTATTTATTCTATAATTGCGCATAAATACCGTAACAACTGTAATATTAAATAATAATAATTTTTAGTCATATATTTTGATGTTACATATTGTTATTCAACTGAATAATTCATTATTAAAATTGCAATCTTTTTTTTTTTTTTTTATTTATTCTTCTTACAAATATATGGTTTTATATGATACAGCGTAAATATGACTAAACCTCCAACAAAGCATAAACCACAAATCGCAGGTATTAATAAAGCTAAATGCTGGGGATAAAAGAAAGATTGCAATCTATCGTCATCAATGAAAGGTAAACCGATGATCCATAAAGTATAATAGAAAAATATTATCGAAGTAAATATCAATATACGTTTACCTCTATTATGATCGCTCATTGACATTATGTTATTGATTTATGTTAGCTTATTTTATTCATTACTTTATTCTCAACTGATTGAAATGCTATTGAAACGGCAATTGAAACGATAACATTTTCTTCTCATCGTATTTTTGAATACTGTAAAAGAGGAAGCAATGAAAAAGAAAAACAGAATAAATATACAAATAATTAATTAAAAATATCATTCAATATTTATATAAATATATGCACATATATGTTTATCTTGTAAATAATACATACATACATACATTTGTTCTTTCTTAGGAAATAAGAAATCAATTTGTTGTTGTTTATGAGGATTAGGTTACTTCCCTACAAGATTATTCCAATTACCTTGGCTAAAGAACAATATTTTCAAAGACTGGTTAAAATTTGATCAGCTTTCTGTGCACGGCTTGTAATAAAGTCCTGGCATGCGAAAAATCAGAACTTGTTATTAAAAAATGTATATTCTTTATTTCTACGTAAATATGTCATTCCTTTTAAAAATGTCGTCTTCCTGTAATTTCTACCGTATTTCAATTGTCACGGGGGTCTAAAGATACCCCATATTTGGGTGAAGTATATACGTTACTGAGGGTTAGGTAAACGTAACCTTACACGTGCTTAAACGTTAACGTTCAATTGAGGTGATCTCTGTACATATATAAATTATTATTACTAATTGATAATAAATTTGTAAGAAGGAATTAAGGAATTAACGATAAACATGCCCAATTCACTTGTTCGTAAGAGTCTTGAATTGTCCGGATATAATGATTTCAATAAAGGTATTGTTTTATCAAATTTATAGGTTATGTATGTATGCATGCAATTTAATGTGAAATACATGGAATTTAAATGTGATATTTGTGTTTACAGAAAAAAAGAAGAAAAAGAACAAACATAATGGTTACAAAGGAACTTTGGAATTAATTCCTGCTAAGCATAGAATTATTTCTTCCAAAGAAAAAACAAGTAATGTGTTGATTATTTTAATTTTATCTATACATATATAGATTTATTTTATTAGGAAGTTTGTATAACAAAATGATTGAATACATTCATCAAAGTATTTGCTTTCTTTGAAACTTCCTAATATTTTTAATATATTTTTATGTGTAGATATCAACAATATTTTTGGTTGGTCTAAAAAAGTTAATATATATGAAGCCAAAAAGCAACTAAAGTCAAAGAAAGATTTAACCGAAGAGAACGTACAGAATCTTTTATTGCTGAGTAGTAATCGTTTGGACAAGCATATGGTTGACAAGGTATGGATTTATATATAAGTGAATGTGTTTAAATGTTATTATTCTTTGATATGTTTTAGGTTTTAAAGCGAGCTGTTGACAAACGATTTGCTAAAAAACCGAAAATGAAGAAGAAGAAGAAGAAACAAGAAAGTACTGTGTTTACAGAGGAAGATTTTAAGAAATTTGAAGAAGAATATATAGATCAGTAAAATAAAATTTAATCTTTTGTACATAAATATGCATAGATAAAAATCAATAATTGTTTAAATCATTTATTTGACTAATAATTTACATCGAAGAGGAAGAGACTGAAAGCGTTATAAATGTAATATTATCTACATATGATTTATGTTTAATAGGATATTATGGTTTTAGGAATGTTTCAAATAAATTATTCATATAATTGATCACATAAATTGATGTGCAAAAAAAAAAAAAAATAAAAAATTCTATTCTTTTTTTAAATTTGTGGCATTCCTGAAGCATTCGTATTTTATATGACTCACTGTGCATATGTATAATCATTGGCTTAATATTAACGTGAAACAAGAAAACAAGATAAATTATTATTATTATTTATTGTAATAAAAATACTTTTTTTTTTTTATAAATAAGAAACACACACACAGGAAGTAGTTTTGTAATTGAAGAGAGAGAGAGAGAGGGAGAGGGAAGGATAAAGGGAAAGAGAGTGACAGAGAGGGGTGGGAGGCTTTGTAAAAAGTGGGAGGGGATAGAAAGAAGAATAAAGAGTGAAAAATAACGGTGAAAACTGGTAGAAAGAATGACAAGTAGTCTCATTTTTGGTGAATCGTCAACGTCACTGCAAACGTCTATTGTATGTCGGACTTAAAATTATTCATCCGCGGTGTATGCTGAGTTGGCACTCTTGACGAAGATAAATGTTACATTCTAATGATGTATATGATGGAACCGTGAATTCAAAGTGTAGCTCAATTATTTTAAATATTTGTACTTAATGAGCTATGAGTGGACAGAAATTTCAATATGACGAAAGCGGAGGGACGTTTTTCTATTTTCTGCTTTCCTTTTTGGCACTTCTCTTGATACCTGGAACGTATTATCTATGGCCACGTTGTCCGAAACAAGGTTAGAGTATACATATATCAATTTATATCAGTTTATATCAGTTTATATCAGTTTATTTGAAATTTATTAATGATGCTTTTCCATATACTTAATTTTTTTTACTTTATACTAAATTAATTGTACTTTAATGCAGAACAATAATGTTATTAACAAGATACAACACTATGCATGATTGCGTTCAATTTAATGATTAAGTTTTATTTCCATGAAAAAAATACACGTAGTATATTTATTATAGTATGTTTATAGTTTATAGTCTTAATTAATGAATACATTATTTAAAGCTTGGTCAGAAATCTTTGATGAACTTTTTTATCACATAAAAAAAATATATTTGCAATGAAATTATGGGAAAAAGATTGTTCAAATTGACATTTTGTTTTTTCTAGATCCGGATAAAGATTCGAAAGAATGTCAGTGCGATGGATGTAAAAAGAAAAAAATCATTTTACAATCGAATGAACCTTGGAAAGAAACTAAGGCATTGTTTACGTAAGTTTGATGCATCTTTTATAATGATATGTATAAGATATAATTGATACTATCATAATAATCTATATACTATTGTAGAAAGTTTTTGATTATTTTGGGATGGATCATTCTTATTTTACTTGCTTATAAAGTATCTCAATTTGATTATGAAATGGCAAACTTTGATCCATTTGAAATACTGGGAGTTTCTCCTGTAGGTATAAATAATGTAGATTCAGTTGATTGAATTGATTCAATGAAATAACTTAATTATTAATCATGTTCTCATTAAGGGTTCATCACAAGGTGAGATTAAAAAAGCATATCGTAAACTTTCATTGATATTACATCCAGATAAGGAAACAGGAAATGAAAAAGCATTTATGAAGTTAACTAAAGGTTTGTATATATATCAAATGCCAAGAGATGAAGTTAGAATAAAATACAATTATTAAAGCATGCGTAATTTAGTTACATATTAACTAAATTTAATATACAATTAGCTTATCAGGCTTTGACGGATGATGAAGCACGAAAAAATTGGGAAAAATATGGAAATCCAGATGGTCCAGGTGCAATGAGCTTTGGAATTGCTTTGCCTTCTTGGATAGTTGAAAAAGAAAATTCAGTTTGGGTTTTAGGTTTATATGCATTGGTTTTTATGGTAGCTTTACCTACAGTCGTTGGAACATGGTGGTATAAAAGTATTCGTTATACAGGAGATCAAGTAATTCTATTTCATATGAAAATTAACTTTATCAGATATACATTTGTAATGTAAGCTTGTACATGTAGAAAGTACTACCGTTGTAGTATATTTAACCAAAAATATCATTTTTCAGGTTTTATTGGCTACAACTGAAACATATTACTACTTTTTTATTAAAACTCCGTCGATGACTTTAAAGAGAGTTATTATGATTCTTGCTGCATCTTTTGAGTTCTGTAAGAAACGTAATGCAGAAATAATTGAAAGACATACGGACATTGAAGAAGTTCCTTCGGTAAGAAAGGAACTTTTTTCATCTTTAATCATTTTCTTTATAAAGTTAAACTATTTATAGATTTTATATGTAATATCTTTTTTTTTTTTTCTTATTATTATTTTCAGCTTATTAAGCAAATAACTAATTTAGGAGAAAAAAATAAAGAAGTACCATTATGTCATCTGTATTCAATAAAAGCTAGAGCTTTACTTCATGCACATTTATCACGTATACCATTAAATCCGGAAACATTAGATAAAGATAGACAGTATATTGTAAAGAAATGTCCATATTTAATCCAAGAAATGGTTGCATGTGTTAATCAAGTCATTTTTCTAGCTTATGCAAAACGAGGTATGTATTATATATACATATACATATATGTGAAATCATTTTCATTTATTTATCCAATTATTATTATTATTATTTTTTTTTTTCAAGTTCCACGAGTACCCAGTATAAAAACTATAGAAAATTGTATGAAACTATGTCCAATGATTGTTCAAGCATTCTGGGAATTTAAAAATCCTCTTCTTCAACTTCCACATATTTCCGAAGATAATTTAAAATACTTTTTAGCCAAAAAGGTAGGCCAATTACTAATATTATCTTAGGATTTATTGATTTAACACAATGTAATTTTGATTTTTTATATACTTGATAGCGCCAAATTAAGAGCCTTCAACAATTTGCACAATTAAAAGGAGAGGAAAGAAGACTGATTCTTAGAAACTTGACCGACAGTCAATATGAAGATGTTATGAAAGTTCTTGGAAATATGCCATACATAGAATTCAAAGTACGATCTGAAGGTACAACACAATCGTTCTCGATAGATTAATGTCGATAATAGAATAATGTCGATGAGAGATTAATGAATGTTTTGTTGAAATTTCAGTAATTGATGATGAAAATCCAACAGTGTATACTGCTGGGGCGATAGTAACAGTAACAGTATCATTAACACGCAAAGATATGAAACATTTGTTTGGCGATGAGACTGTTAAAGAACAAACTATGATAGATGACATTAAAGTTAGCGGAGAAGTAACAAGCAACGAAGGTACAGAGGAACAAAGTCAGTCTGTGAAGAAACCTGCATGGCTTAGACAAAAAAAGGGCCAGAAGAAACCTCATAAAAAAGGTACCAATAAAAAAACAGTCCCTGTAAAAAATATACAAGCTCAAGGACAGACAACACAGCAGAGTAATAATAATACACAGCAAAGTAATACACCAAACACAAACAAAAAGAAAGAAGACAAAATAGAAAAAGAGTCTTCCAAAGAAAAATCTGATGTTAGTGACAGCGAAGCTGATAGTGATAGAAGTGATGATGAAGACAGTAATGATAAGAAAGATATAGGTATTGATGATGACGATACAGAGTGGGAAAGGTAATCTCTTATATTATCATTGTATTATTTATTATGTGTCAATGGATTTAATTAAACACATCTTTCTCACGTTATTCATTCTTTCTAGATTTCAACAAAGAATTTCTAAAAGAGAAAGAGTTTTGGAAGGAAGAAGTAATTTGTCACACGAAGTACATTGTCCACTTTTTCCTGATGTTAAACAAGAATACTGGTGGGTTTATATCTGTGATCGTAAAAGTCAGACTTTACTGACAACTCCAGTACACGTAACATCTTTAGCACAATCGGAGGAGGTACAACTGCGTTTTACAGCACCACGTTGGCCGGGATTATACACATTTACCGTATGCTTACGCAGCGATTCATATCTTGGGTTTGATCAAGCGCAAGATATTAAGGTACGTTATATTTAGTTACGAATATTTGAAAATTCATTTGAAAATTCATTTGAAATTGTATTAAATTGGTATACTTTAAAGTTGGATGTAAAAGAAGCTCCCGAAGTACCAACGGAGCATCCTCAATGGGATATTTCGGATGAAGAAACTGCAGAGGATGTGGATGCAGCTGATGAACATTCCGAGTTCACAACTGATGAAGATATCAGTGATAATGAGTAATATCTTTTTATCTTATGTGATCGGATGAGTGGATATTCTAAAAATTCTCACTTCTTCTCTTTTTTTACTGGTTAAGTTAATGTACATTTGTCTTTTATACATGGAATTGCATAATCGTTGATGTATGTGGACAATCTAGGAACTAGTACGGTGTGTAATATTTCTCAATTACGAGAAAGTAATAGCAAATAAAGAACATGATATTTATTTTAAGATTGTTGTTTAATCTTTAATCCATTTGCATCATGTGACACTACTACTTAAGTTTCCTTGTTTTAAACATGGAAGAACCATGCAAATGGGTTAATCTTCGTACATACAACTGTGTGTACTTTAAATATATAAACAAGATTTATTGTGTGTGTACATTATACAAAATATGCATTGTATATAATTTTTAATATTAACATTAATACACAAACATATGTACAACTTTTTAATACTAACAATAACATAATACATATGTATAAATATGTAATGATATATTAACTTTTGATAACCAATCTTTTATCTACATTAGAAAGGATTTATACATTTGTTAGAACTGACAAAGAAGTAAATATAAAATAGATGGTAGATCATGAGCTCTGGTCATGAGACATTTAACTAACTGACTCTCTCACCCCTGTATATATAACTTATGTCATTTTCATTTTATAAATCAAGACTTACTATCTCTTGATATATTTTTTCTATTTCTGCAATAAGATTGTCCATCCTATATAGTATAAAAATAATGTATAAAATTGTTGCAGAAAATGATGAAATTAATGAAAAATAATGTAAAATAAACTCACGTATGTCGTACTATTAAATTTTCATATATTAAACTGTCACGACATTCTATAGACTTACTACACTTAGATGGTAGTTTCCTGTCTGAATCTTCTTTTATTATAGCATGCAAGTCGTCTTGATATTTTTTTGTCATGACTATTACAGAATTGAATGAACCTTCTAATTTGGAAAGTTCGTATTTCAGATTATTTATTTGGCTGTAAAAGGATTTTATTAATGATAAAAGAAGACAAATAATTGTAATAATAAATGTAAAATTTGTAAATAGACGTAATACCTGACAAGTTCAACGATTTTGTTTTCATCAAATTGTGCTTTTCGTAATTTCATATATTCAAAAAGTACCTTAACCATTTTTATTGGTGTCTCAGAACGATTAAAAGTCTTTTTAAAAGTTTCATATATATTTAGGGCTTTATCATATCTATAGAAAGATGCAATAAAACAAATATATATATATATATTTATATTTCATATGGCATTAAAATGAATATATAATGTTACTTACGTTTCATTTAAAACTTCTATTGAAATGTTTAAGACAATGCTTTTTAATGCATTACTGTCCTCGTTTAAATTGATAAATTTTAAGCGTATTTGATTAGCAGCAGTTAACAATTGATTCACTTTTTTCGAATTCTCTTCTAAAGCTTCAATTTTGTCTCTTTTTGTTTTTTGATCGGTATGAAGAGTTTGAAAAGAATTCACTTTTGTAGCTAATAAATTTGTACTTTGTAATGTATTTTCTATACATTTGTCAAACTTAACAAGTCTAGCATTTATTATGTCTCTGAAATATCACAAATAAATATCATGTTACTATAAGACCATTGCATTGTGCATACATATCTTCAATATTGTAGACGTAAAGAGCTTACACTTCTATAGACAAAGAAAAAATATACAACTTGAAAAGATGTAAATCCTGCTTCATCATGAATATGGTCACACGATAATAATCATTTAATACTTCAAAACCTAGCTTACTTTTGGATTGTTCTATCATTTCATGTGCTAGGAAAGGTACATTTAGTGGAGGTATATCGTATAGTTTAGCAGGTATATCGTGTAGTTTAGCAGATATATCATCAGTTTCCAGAACAAATAACATTGAATTCTAAATGGATGAAATTATTTGTTAATAATATCTCGTACACTACTCTATATACATTATATTAATATACGTACGTCAATTTGTGCAAGAACTGGTACATCATTGCGGAGGATATTGCCATAATAATCAGTTAATATTATTTGTCGATTAACTGAAATATTTACATCTTTTTCTATAATTAATTGCAATGTTGAAAGAGTGGTCTTTTCATCAATTATATATGTCCAAATTTGATATAAGTACATAGAATATACATATATAATCTGTAAAGGATAGAAACTTCAATCATTTGAAGAAAACTCAATTCTATTACTGTGGCATAATTTACAACACAAAATAACAAAATAACAAAATAACAAAATAACAAAATGAAAGAAAAAACAAAATAAAAGACAAAGTTGACATTTTGAATTGTGTTGCTTACTTAAAAATACCTTCTGCGATAGAACTGGTTCAAGTAATTGAAAGACCGCTAATTGAGGTATCCCGTTTACATCTAATTGTTTACCCCGTTTCTTAGGATCCCATTGAAGGACAATTTTAAACCATTTTACCATAGAAGATCTGATATAACTATTAAATAGAAGAAAAGAAATCGTAATAAATAATAAATAACAGTTAAATCCAATAAATGTGTATATAATTGAATACTAATCATCTCTTGTCCTTATAGGACTGTTTTTACCTAGACAGATCTATTGGATCCTCTATATCTTGTCTAAATAATACTTTTCCATCGCGTTCATAAGCACATATGTCATCAATGGATTTATTTTTAATAATTTGCATCCTACATAAGTTATTAATGTAACATACGAGTATAACGAGTACTACGTTGGTAGTTATTTAGTAGTTATTTAATACTTACCACTCCATTGTATGCGGCATACTAGGTAGAAATGGTCTTTTACCAGTTATTATTTCATAAAAAAGTATTCCTAAGCTCCAATAATCAACAGAACAACTGTATTTCTCATTACAGAGAAGTTCTGGTGCAACATAATTCATTGTGCCAACGATAGACGCAGATATACTGGCTTCTCCAATTTCTTTAGCATATCCCAAGTCTATTAATTTATATACAATCTGCAATATATTATACAATACTTAGAAATATATAATATTGTGGAAAGATTCTAACGAGATTAAATAATACACCCTTACTGTGTTATTTACAACTTGTAAAACTACATTTTCTGGTTTTAAATCACGATGAGTAATTTTATGTAAGTGTAAATACTTAACAGCAGATAAAATGTCGCTCATTATTTTCAATGTATCCATTTCTTTAATACCGCAACAATTTTCTCCTTTATTCAGGACCTGATCAAAATGAAAAAGTCAAGAGAGTAACATTATTACAAACGGTAATATAATTAACTTGAAAGTATCGCATATATAAACATAGATATAATATAATATGCACTTTTCTAAGGTCACCCATAGTACAATATTCCATACATAATACAGGCATGCTATTATCTTTATCTAGTTTGAATGGAATAGGCATTGTTTTGACAATATTCGGATGATTAAAACGTTTCATTATTTCAACTTCTCTAGTCCATCGAATTTTCTGTATTGCTGTTAATTGTGTATCGTCCCATTTGCATTGTTTTATTGCTAACAACAAATAATAACTAAAAATTAATAAATTATAATTTTACATATACTAATGATAAAGTTTAAACAAAGTATCAAACTTTTAATTTACCCAGTTTTCGACCAGTATCTTTCTGAGCCCATAATTTTACAATACCAAAACCTCCAGTCCCTAAGACTCGTTCAAAATTCCAAATTAAGGTTGTAACAGGTTCACTTGTCATTTTTATATTGCTTTTGTAATGAGCAAATAATACATGTACATATATATATATATATTTTCACAATCAGATCCTGATATTATACGGTGTACTTTACAAAATGTTATCTACTTTTAATGGAACAAAGTATTACATTTACAAATTTTTCTTACATTTTCTTTTCCTTTATTTTTAATCATACTTTGATTTAGTTAGCTAATGCAGAAGAGTATTAGTACTACAGTATCCGTATTTAACGAAAACATTTTACGATTGATGTAATTTGGTTAGCGTAATCTAAATCATCTTAGTTACAACCGAGACCACCAGGTGGTATTCTTTGATAGTATTGTACCATCATCGCGTTAAATATTTACTTTCTTTTAAGATCTACCGCTAGATGACGGCACATATTTTATCGGTCGGTAAAATAAAGTAATAGTTATTATCGATAGATGATATCGCACATATTTTACCAGTCGATAAGATAAACTAATAGTTATTACCGATAGATGATATCGCACATATTTTACCAGTCGATAAGATAAACTAATAGTTATTAAAAAAAAAAAAAAAAATTATTTATTTTATCATTTGCTTAATAAAATTAATAACATTAGCACACAAAAAAACATTAGATACCCTATAACACAAATGCCTGTTTTTTTTTTTTAATTTTTTTCCTTGTAAAATTAATAAAATTAAAAAAAGAGGAAAATCTTCGAAGAAATATCTTGGTAAAGATAGACAAACTTTATCTCAGTGACTTGAAACGTAATGTTATAACACATACATTGCCGCTATTGTAGACTACTACACTACTACAGCTGAACAAATACACGTTTACGTGAAATTTCAACTATAAATTATTTAGTAAAATTTACAAGATAATTAACTATGAAAATCTATTTGAAATCGTGACAACAATTAAACAATAAATAGCATAAGTTTACATTTAATTAATTGAATTAAAAGTATATTGTTTGAAATAAACATATGCATGTTTAAATATACTTTGGTGAAACGTCAAGATGTGTTTACGTTACTCTACGATACATAAGTCCTCCAAGTGTTGATGAATTTAGCTGAAGAGAAAAGGGAATCCTAACACAGAAATAGCAAATCCATTAGAAAGTAAGAAAAACAACACACAGTGCATAACAGTGCTTCTATCTAATATTTAAACTAGTAAATAGTTAACAACTTTGAGTACATTATAGAAGAAAATGTCTTTTTTTTTTTTTGGTAATCTTTTATCCAATAATTTGTATTATTTTATTATTTCTTTTTATTTTATCCTGTAAATAAATAGACACACACACACACACACACACACACACACACACACACACACACACACACACACAGTTGACAAATTGTGATTGTTCCTTTAAATAAGAATTCTTTTTAAACATCTTCAATATCATTTTATTTTTGATTCAATTTCACGGTATGAAATACTTTCTATGACATTTATCTTTTCCAATGTTCACTTTTGACATTGAAAATAGAGACGATGCGTGATATAAAGAAGAGAAGTTGCTTAAAAATAGTAACAAAATAAGTCTGTTAAATATTTTAGCCACGTGTGTAAAAAACAAATGGAATAAGTAAAAGAGGAAGAAGAAGAAGAAGAAGAAGAAGAAGAAAAATCAAGAACGACTCTGAGATCCAGCCGACGATTTCTCGAGCTCGAAAATAGCTCGCATAGTTTCTTCTTACTTGACTCCCCTAACACGTTACAATATTTCATCCCAGGATTGTTAAAGCTGGCCAAAGAACTTTGCCATAAATAATTAATGAACTATTATTATTCGCTAATATTATAAAAAAGAACAAAACAAACCAATTAAAATGAAGCTTGACAAAAATATACATTATTATTTCTATGTAAATATACGTAAATATAAAGATGTTATAATAACACATTTAGCAAGAGAGAAAGAGAGAAAATATAATAGTATCTAATTTCAAGAAAATCTTCATTATCTTTGGCAAATAATTCTTGGCTTTGAATCTATTCGTAAGATGATCAACAATATTTATAGTTACTAAACATTTTTATTTCATATTCCGCATATTCATAGTTCGCAATGAACTCGTAAACTACAAAAACCGATTTTAATCAAGTTTTGCACACTCTGTGCAGTTTCATCCAACTTGAAAGATACGATAGTTTATATCTCCTCAATTTATAATCACAATATTATTTGTTTATTAACAAAGAGTCATGATTATCTCTGTTAATTCGATAAGATTCTAACAAATGGCGGTATAAGGTAATTCGTTGACTTAAAGACGTGTGTATAGGACTGATTGTGACACCCCTATTTATATATATATTATTTATTTAACAGCTTATTTACTATGCATATAAAATATTCTTTAATACATTTCTAATTGTAAGTAAATAGAAAATTTTCGACATTTATATATATATATGTATATATTTATACAATTAGAAATTTAATGAAGTATATATATATATATATATATTTATGTAGGAAAACGTACAAACGAATGGAGTATGTCAGGCAACTATGCAAGAGACTTGGCAAGGCTGACAATCTGAAGCTCTAGCCAGACGTTGTACATATATACATACATCTGGTTATGTATATTTTCGTACCGGGAACTACGTGATATTCTCAAATCTTTATGGCACTCATACACACGCACATATTATATATATATGCATAATTTTTGCTAGGTTTAATGGTATATTAAAGGCTTTTAACTCTTCTTTATTTATTCTTTAATCTCTCTCACATACACCTGTGCGTGCATATGTATATCTAAAACAAATTAAAAAAATACTTCATTACTGACATAACTTTTGATTACTTTTCACTTTAAAATGAATACACGTAAAATAAAATATCGTAATGGTTTTTAAAAACCATTCATTATATCTTTCTAAATGTTTCCAATTTTTCATCGAAATTATTATCTTACAATTTGATTCTTGTAATGTTTATAATTCTTCAATTAACTTTAAAAAAAAAAAAAAATGATCCAACACGTTTACTGATCCATTTAGAACATTTTTTTGGAGAATTTATTATGTACAAAATTATGCATATATTTTTTTTTTTTTGATATTTTTCATCATTACCATCATCACCATCAGCAACGAATAAACCCATGGTCATTGTCGTCATTATTATCATGATTGTCATCACAATAATCGTCATCTTGATTCAAAGCCAGAAAATCAAACTGTTAATAAAACAGAATGATTTAGAATATTAGCTCACATTAGTATTAGTGTGTTAGAAATCTTATGTAATAACGCGTTTAACGTTGTGTTGAGAGAGAGAGAGAGAGAGAGAGAGAGAGAGAGAGAGAGAGAGTGAGAGATGTTTCGTTAGACAAAAGTAAAGTGAAACTTAAAAAATTTTCTCTTTCTCTCTCTCTTTCTATTATATCACAGTACTTCAATTTATATATATATATATGTGTGTGTGTGTGTTAGTGTATTTACATTACAAAATGAGATCTTTGCCAGAAAATATTCTAAGGAAGTGAAAAATGGTTTTGTAACGTTAGTTAGGTGTTACCATATGACATAATCTCTTAAGCAACGTAAGAATGAAAGATACAAAAATACATTTTCTTTTTTTTTTATTCCAAAGCAAAATTGTTATAAATTCGAACTTTGATTATCTATCTTACGATATTATAATGATTATAGTTATCTCATCATTTCTCGTTATATAATCTTTAATCTGATTCGTCAACTTTATCGATCGATCAGCTTTTAGCACGACAAATTTCGCGATATCTCCGAAATATGATTGAAACATTTGTTTTTTCTTTCTTCGATTTTACTCGCATTTTATAAACGATTGTCAATCATTTTCTTCGTGGATTTTCGATTTGAACGAAACAGAAACAGAGTGTGTCAAATTCGTGATCGATAAAATCCATTGATGTAGATCGATTTATACATATGTGTTGTGTTATACCTATGTACTTTTTTTTTATGTAATCTGATAAGAGTTAACAGCTAATGGATAGAGATATTTAGTCCTCTTGTCTCTCTCTTTCCTTTTTATTTCATTGGGAAAAACCATCCCAATCTAATCTGACTCTATCAACGATGTATTTAACACTTGAAAAACACTACACTCCAGTTATTAGTCTTCGTTAAAGATTTCTAAACAATATTCTAACTGTATGAACAAATTTAAACAAAAAAGAAAGAAAAGTTACAAAACTGTTGTGCTAAAATAAAACTTCAAGATTACGCACACACCTAATGGTTACTACATATTTTACATTGGTGTCGTTGTCAAATATTTTTATATAAATAATTATAAATCTACATGTTAAGATTTTCTTCGACTTGCCGATTTAATTGAACTACTATAATTACTGGAGTAGCATTTCTATTGTTAAGATAATAAGATTGTAAAATGTGAAATATTGAAGGGGGGTGGGTGGTTGGGGGGAGTAAGGAAAAAAGATTTGATCCGTTGGTTACTTCTATTGGTTCGATAGGGAAGGTAGGTAGGTATGTAGGTTCGGTATTGATCCACTCCGCATTCGAGCGACCTTTAATGTTCCCCTTTCCTCTCTGTCACCCCCTCATTCTCATCCTACATTCCACACTTCTGCGCTCTGCTTTGCTTTGCTTTGCTCTGCTATGCTCTGCTTTGCTCTGCTTTGCTCTGCTCTGCTCTCTCTCGGTCTTCTCTCTAGGCCAAAAGGGGATGGGAAGAGACGGCTGGTGGTTAGAGGGGAACTTGGCACTCTTGGATACCAGAAAGAAAAGAGAGTAAGAGAGATGGAAATACGAAAAAAAAAAAGAAAAAAAAGAAAAAGGGAGAACAGACTAAACCAAAAGATAAATCCTACGCACGACCTACAACAATGCCCTGGAGTTTCTTCTGTCTGCAGCTGATTTCACGACCAACCAATCGGAGGCCATTCCCCAACACCCGGAATACCACCGTTCTCCGGAAGTACGTCACCTTAACTCAAACTCATCATACACGCTTGAAAGTATTGTACGACGAATGAATTGTTCCCAAGTTCTATCAAGATGTTTAAATTAAACTAATGGAACGTTTTAAAAACTGTAACGTAAATCATCCATTTAAATTGGTTTTGTGGAAAAAAAAACAAGATGAAGTGTTTTCTACGAGTATAAAAGATTGTTATTATTATTATTTTGTATCATGAAAGGGAATGGAAGAAAATTTTTGGAAGAAAGAATATTAAATAAATTGACATATGAGTGAAAGATGATTCATAAGAAGTAATAAGAAAAGACCTT